CAACAACAACAACAACAACAACAACAACAGCGACAACAACAACAACAACAACAACAACAACAACAACAACAACATCCTCCCTTCTCCCCCCTCAGCTCTACGGCCGTGTATGTAGAAGCGGTTACAGAATCGAGTCTGCCCAATGTCGGAATGCTGCCACCCAGGCGGACTTTGACGAGAGTACAGCTCACTTCGCCAACGATGTGCTCACTCGACCGTGCACCACCAGTGGGCTAGAGTGTGTCAACAGTGACCAGACCTCCGACGCTGGGACCCACATGTGCGCTGATTACGCAATCAGGTTCAAATGCAAAAGTAAGTCTTGAAGGGGTTTTCTGGTGTTCTAATTCATTCATTCATTCATTCATTCATTTTCATTCATTCATTCATTCGTTTTCATTTATTTTCATTTGTTTTCATTCATTCATTTATTCTTTCATTTATTCATCCATCCATTTATTTTCATTCATTCATTCATTCATGCCTTCATTTCTTTATAAAAATCACCTTTTACAATCACCTGTCAAAGACAATCACCTTTATACAAACAATCACCTGTCAAAGACAACCACCTCTATAAAAACGACCACTTTCTACATTCTCTTTCTCCTCTTTCGGTGTTTTTTTTCAATTAGTATAACGATACTGAGCAAGACGACCGCCAGTCTAGGAAGACTTATTTACTCCTCCATGATGAGTGGTTGACTTGAACAAGATAGATGTTTGTGTTTCCTTTTTAATCTTGAAGTTAGTCGACAATAAACCGTAGCCCCTAACTAGGGATTAGATAATAGTTGTTATTACCTTGATTGAGGTATACAGCGTGACATGGGTATCTATAAATAGAGAAAGATGAAGGCTTTTGTCTCAATTTACGGGCGTCTGTAACAATAATAATAATAACTACATATTTGTTCCGCGTATCTAAACTTAACAACATGCTCTACATCTGTTGTAATAAGATTATCACAACGTTGGAAAAGATTTGTGAAATACCATGACGTAAACGATGAAGTTTTCCATGGATGTGATCGTGACATGACTTCTCATTAACACAAGATAACATAGGACAATACAAGACAAGACAATACAAGACAAGATAATAATATGATAAGACAAGACAAGGCAAGACAAGACAAGACAAGACAAGACAAGACAAGCCAAGACAAGACAAGATAAGATAATATAAAAGACAAGATAACATAAAATACGATAAGATAAGATAAGATAAGATAAGACAAAACAAAATAAGATAAGTTAATACTTTATTGTCCGAGAGGGAAATTTTTCTTGGCTGTACAGGACCATAAAAACACATGCAGTTATAATATATAAAAGAAGAAGAAGAAATTTTAAAAAAATAAAAAATTGTACGATCTTTTTCTCCTTCGTTTCTTTCAGACTACGGCGACGACGAGAACAGCGATAGCCTGTTCCCTCAGTTTGACGTCCGCATCTACATCATCCTCGCCGTCGTCCCCATCCTCATCTTCCTCATCCGCATCCTCTGGGCCTACGTGTTCCGGAAGAGGCGACAGCGCAGGCGCCAAGAACGACGCGCGGCCAGACTCCGAGGTCTCCGGGGCTCCGAGAGTGACGGCGGGGATGATGACGACACTTCCTCCATAGCGTCAGGGCTGGCCAACCCCCCGCCCACCTACCACGAGCTGTTCGGCGAGGGTCTGTCGCCATCCTCTGTGTTCGCCATCACTAGCGGCAACGTGCCCGTGTGTTCCAAGTGCCGGAGCAAGCCGTGTAGCGTGGCTATAGCTGTCAACGCCGCGGCCACCAACGGCTTGCACAATGTGGCACAACTCCCCGGTGCTCTCCACAGCTCGGACAATGTGATAGACGATGACCACCGCGACAGCCAGACGACATCTGTTTCAGGGTCTTCGAGTCCGTCGGGAAGTGAGACAGACACAAACACTGGACACCCCAGCTCCCAGCCCGTGACGTCACCGTCCACAGCCAACAGTGACGTCGTTGTGACGTCAGAGTCTCGCGGCGTTCACGAGACCAGCGAGGCGGACTCCCGCACTGTGATAGAAGACGGTACATCCGGGGTGCCGCTTCAGGACTTGGAACTCTCGAGAGTGAGCACTTCTGGTGATAGCCCGCACGGCGGTAGTGTCGTGGACTCAGCTCTCCAACAAACTGTGCACGTGGAGAATGAGTTACCAGACGTTGGTGTGGCCGCACAGGTCGCCGGCGCCAGCGTGGTGTCAGCGGGAAGAGCGGCGCCGTCCTCTATAGACAGTGAACACAACCCAAACCCTACACCCCTCATATCCTCATTGAACTTGTCCCTTCTCCCCATCTCCCAGCCCTGCGCGTGTGCGTGTCACCGGACGGTCTCATTCGTGGGCGTGGGGGAGATAAGGTATGACAATGAAGCTTTCGCCCACGACGAGGGTTCAGACTCCAGAGTGGCTCGCCTCCCTGGGATGCACACACAGGTTCCCGGCCTTCACCGGGTCTGGTCCAACCTGTCCGCCGTGTCCACTATCACCCTGTCCGAGCTGCCATCCTACGAGGACGCCCTGGAGCTCATCAAGAAGAAGGAAGCCGAGTCGATACAGCACTTATAGCGTGTCGTCGAAACTGACCATCCGAAAAGAAAGAAAAAAACAACTGTTGTTGAAAAATTCAGAGCTGTAGAGCTCTGGAAATAACTTGCAATCTAAAGTGCCCTTCACGCAGAGGTATCCCAGACTTCATCAAAAGGAGAGAAGTTTAGGTGAAATGATTTTTACATTCCTGATGACACCCCCGCCCCCACTTTTACAACCCCCCCC